GAACCGCATAGACAGAAGAGTCACTGCCCTAAGCACATGGCAGCTGCAGAAACGCTGCTCTGAATTATTATGCATGCAGACATGGATGCATATCCAGCTTCACACCCCTGCTGATAGCCCTGAGAAAGGGCAACAGGACGCTATATCTTTGCGACCGTATGGCAGGGAATGCCTGCTCCATAGCATCTCCTCCTCCTCTGCATAGGACAAGGCAGAAGGCTGATCCAGGGAATAGGATGAGTTTAGTACATGCCAGCAGGAACTTCAGCAACATTGCCCTGCAGCCAGAGACTCACCATGTCAAAGGTCGTGTAGATTTATCCCAGAATAAGCTCTGCTCTGTGCTCCCACTCCACTCTGCCATTCACCTCTCGCTGCCTTCTCTCCTCCCCTGTCCGCAGCAGCAGGCAGTGCCCGCAGCCCTGCTGCTCTTGGCACAGGAGCTGCTCCTGCACTCGGCTGTCTCTGGGCAGTGCTGCCAGGCTGCCACGAGCTGCCTCTGTCCCAGGAGCCTGGCCCCGCTCAGGAGCAGAGGCCCAGCTGAACTCATCAATTTCTCTGTCCCTTGTGCTCCTTGCTCCTGGGAACAGTTCACTTCAGTAAACTAAAATAATCACCTGTTGTCTTTTGCTAATGACTGGAGCAATAAAGATTCCAACATTGAAGTGTGTATTTCCTCAAAGGATGACTATCTATGAAAGTTGGAAATGTTCTGGAAGAATTGATTCACATCTCTTAACTAGGCAGAAAACTTAGATGTGACAAGACGAGAGTTCACTGACACATGGTGCAAGTGTTGATTCCAATGACTTATTCTGGGCATCACCTGCCTATTTAGAAGTCCTTGGGCTGGAGTGGGATCCAGCAAACTCTCCTGAACTCCACAAATACATGGGAGGTGGCATTCCTATTACCCCAATAAGGGTGCAGCAAATTGCTTGTCTAAGCTTCTAATGGAATTGCTGGAGACAACGGTGGCCCAAAGGCATATGTCAGTGTGCTCTTGATCTGAAGGATCATGTCCAGGCAGGTTTGGAATATCTCCAGAGAAACAGACTCTACAACCGCTCTGGGCAATCTGTGCCATTGTTCTCTCACCCTCACAGTCAAGGAGTTTTCCCTCAAATTCAGATGGAATTTTCTGTGCTTCACTTTGTAGCTGATGCCACTTACCCTCTAGCTGGCCACCAGTGAAAAGAGTGTACCCCCCTCCCTTTGACACCCTCCTGTCACACATTTGTACGCACCGATGGGATCCCATCTCAGCCTTCTCCGCAGGCTCAACAGCTCCAGCTCTCTCAGCCTCTCTTAACAGGAGAGATGCTTCAGTCCCCTCATTATCTTTGTAGCCCCACATTGGACTCTGTCCAGTAGCTTCATGTCTCTCTTGTAATGGGGAGCCCAGCACTGGGCACAGGACTCCAGATGTGGCCTCCCCAGGGCTGAGTAGAGGATGGGAACACCTCCCTCAACCTGCTGGCAACACGCTTCCTGATGCACCTCAGGAGACCACTGGCCCTCTTGGCCACAGGGGCACATTGCTGGCTCATGCTCAGGCTGTAGTCTACTAACACACTCATGTCCCTCTCTTCAAAGCTGCTTTCCAACCTTGGGATCTTCAGGGTATGTTCTGCCTAGCAGCACCTTTGGCCTCAGGCCAGCAGTTTGCAGGAGGGTAGGCAGGCTTCATGAGGGCAAATTTGAGTCAGAGATGGCCTCCAAGAGAGAAGACATCTTTGAGCAGAGTGAAAATGCAGGTCACCTTATGGCAGCTCTCCTGCATCTGAGCAGCTTCAGGGACAGGACCAACTTGAAGCCCAGCTGGCTGGCTGCTCTACAACAGCTCTGCCAGAAAATGAGCCTTACCAAGTCGATGTTTGTAAACATCTGGTAGGCGCGGCTGCAGCAGGCACATGGCACTGCTGCTGGCTGGAGAGTCCTGTTGTCTGTGCTTTTGATGGACGGCACCAGGAATTAACAGGCACATGGCTGTGAGGGAGACCGTGAGCTCTGCTCTCTTCTGAGGCCCTGGCAGGCCAGCAAGAGCTGCCGGGGCAGCAGCAGGCACTGCCTGTGGGGCTAGGCATGTCTCAGCAGCGGACAGGGACACGGAGGCTGTCAGGGATTACAGCAGGTCTGTGGAATCCCTGGCTCCCTTAGCGAAGAACGTTAACCTTGAAAAGATTAGAGTGTATTCATGAGATAGGGAATTCACACAGAGACAGCAGAAAATTATTAACAAGTTTAAGATTTTAGCCACAGAGCAGAAACTGGCCAAGCTAAGAATCATCCAATCATTAGCTGTTGTTCTCACCAATAAGCAGCAGCCACGACAAAGAAAGCTCTGTATAAATGTACTAGGAGAACAATAAAGCGTAGTTTGTGTTACATCTACCCCAGTTGTTTGTGGTTTTGGCTGCCACAACTGTGACAACTGGTGACTCCAACATGATAATAAGTGGACCGCCTGGCGACTGACGGTGGTGTTGGAGCCTGGCATAGCTTGAGAGCAACGGGGCAGCTGCCTGGTCCGGACCCATGATTTGACTCCTTGTGAAGGAGAGCTGCTGGGAATGGGATTGACACATCTCAAAGGTGCTAATGGGACCGACACCTCTCGAAGGTCTCTCCGCCGAGAGTGGAAATATGGAGACATAGGGCAAAACCTGACAAAGCAGGAAGCCCTAGTCTTATCTACTTGGAAATCTTTGCTTGTTCACAGAGGTATCAAAGTTACTGACTATGCGTTATGCCGCCTGCTGCTCTGGTGCTGAGGACAGGGGTTTGAAGCCACCTCTGCTGTCACATTCAGTGTGAGCTCTTGGCAGAAGGTAGATAAGCTGTGGGATGCCCTTTCTAAAGGCTTTAAAGAGGTAGAGGGTTTACCTGCTACTTGGCGGCTGCCGTGGGAGACTTTGGAGGGTTGGAAAGCTGAGCATGACCAGGAGAGCATGCTGGTGATGCCAGAAAGTACCCCTCTGTTGTGGGAAGACAGAGAGGACCAGGAGAAGCGCCCTTCTCCCGTAGAGTCTGGTAAGGAGCAAATGGACGCTTTGCAGTCCTCCACGGGCGCCTTCGGGTCATCACAACATGAAACCAACTCAAGTCATAAGTACACCTCGCCCAATGAGCAGGTAAAGATGTGGCGATGGGGGAAGTCTCCCAGTGAGTTTTTGCCCCCTCTTTATAAGACACCTGCACAGTACTTAGCTGAGCGGGAGGCTTCAAATAAACCTGTGTTTTCCTCCGTTCCTCCTGGGGGTGAGGAGAAGGAAAATGATGAAGAAATCCCCAGTAAAAACTTTATACCACCCCCCCTTCCCCAAGACTCCTCAGACAAGGAGGAGGGGGTGGTTTCTATTGTTCGTCCTTCTGTGAAAGAGACTATGGGGGATTCTCAATGTCGGACCTTGAGATTAGCAGCTGAACCACAGACTCTCCCCCCCACCATGGTAACTATGTTGCCGCGACAGCCTGGTAAATTCTGGAATCAGGTTAGAAAAAAGGAAGCCGAAGTGAGGCAACGGGATTTGTTAGATAGGATCAGTTACCCCTCAGAGGCCTACACTCAAGTTGTCACTTGTGGCTTGGGAGATTTTCCTGTGTTTAAAGTGGCCTCCAACTCAGGAAGAAGGGATGAACATAGTATGGTTGCCTGGAAAGTAGTGCAAGACTTGCAGACATATACATAGAAATATGGTATCAACTCTCCGGAGGTAATGCGGCTGATCTGAATTATTAATGCGGATCTTTTAGCCCCGCATGATATATCCCATCTTGCTCAGATTCTGTTCCAGCCTGTACAGAATCAAGTGTTTATGGCACACTGGAGGAGGTTAGCTGAGCGGACTGCACTAGATAACATGCAATTGCCGCAAGGAGATCCACAGCGGGGAGTTGGGGCTGACGCTTTGACAGGAATGGGCCTTTTTGCTAACCCTGATCTTCAGGCTCAATGGGACCCTAGTGTTCTTGAATAGGTGCAACGTTTAGGTATGTCAGCTCTGATACAAACTATGGAACTGGCCTCACTTCGTCCTAA